AACTGGCGGTCAGTTTCAGCAGCGGCTGAATCTGGACGCCAGTTCTGACTTACATACAGATTCAACTTAAGAACAAACCTACAGTCCCTATCTTGACTGCCTGTACTGTACTGGAAAATACCACTTTTAAGATACACCAATGGCTTAGGAAGACTACCCAACAGGCACAAAGTGAGATAACCCACTCATTCCCCTTCATTCCAGAGACAAAGCAAATGCAAGTTATGTTAGAGCCATTACTTTCACCAGTATTCTTCGGGATGAGGGAGAGAAGAGGAAACCAGAAAGGACACTACAGAGGGGCACAGGACAAAGTAGAAAAGTGATCCAGAGCATCAAGTGAAAAACTTCTGAAGAACATTCTAGGTAATACATCTAGAACCACGTTATTTCTCAGAAAATACAGTACACAAGTTTGGCAAAATCGTCAGCCACAGTGCCAGAGAACGATTTAGCACTCTAGGAGTATGAAGAGCTCAGACAAATGTAAAATTATCTTAATCTTGTGACAGGCAACATTAAGGTCTAATTTTGTCATTGAGAATTAACCACTTAATGAGCAGCTTTTACACAGATAAGAGTTTTATTTTGCTCCTTTTAAGTAGTCATATTGACACACAAGGCCCCCAGACAGCAGTGTAAATTAGACACTTTCTAACACCAATATGAAGCACATAAAATCTCCTGTCACATTACTTTAGAATTTGGCATATGGAAGCATGTTTTAAATACTCTTAAGGCATTTTCATTAGAAGTCCTCTGCTGCAATTTCACATTAACTCAATCTTCCTGTGAGTCTGTCTTTAGTTTATCTACTGCACACTCCACCCCAGTAAGGTACATAAAGACTTTCCACAAACCCATGCTTTACCAGCAGCCATACAGTTCTGCAACAAGCTCCAAATATTCAACTTCTTGTTCCCTAAATATACCAACTAGATGTTAATACTGTTCTGCTACAAAGTGAAAAAGAGCTCCTAACTCAAACCCACTGAAAAAGAGTAAAACTTTTGCAAAGTGCACTTTAAGAAGAGGTACTTTTTGCTTACGAAAAGAAACCAGTGAGTCCTCTAAGAATAATAAAGTGGAGTATTTTACAGTTAAGCACATGATTTGGGGCAAAGAATTCTGATGTTGCTGCTCTGCTGGTACAGTATGTGGACTGTTAATACTCTTCTTGCTCCTCTTGTGGCACTCCTTCGTCAGGTATCACAAAGCCTTCCTGAAGGAGGAAAGAAAGAATGTATTAATGGAAGTGGATGTCAAATGAGGCCCACAGGGTTGCACACACCCTTCCCTGCAGTTTTACTACTTGGGATAGTGTCAGGGAGGAATATGCTCACTTATAAAAGTGAAGTTACAATGCCGGACAAAACCTTGAAAAACAACAAATAGTCCTGCAGCATCTTAGAGACTAACAATGTAGCTGGGATCATGAGCTTTTGTAGGTACAACCCACTTCTTCAGATGAATGGAGTTAGAAGCTGGTTGTGTCCACAAAAGCTTAGGATACCAGCTACATTTTTTGTTAGTCTCTAAGGTGCTGCAGGGCTATTCGTCATTTAAGGTTTTTTTTCCATTAGAAAAATTCACTTGATTGCCAATTAGTAGTTTATGTAAAGACAGACTTACATCTGTTGCATAAAGAATTTCCACAATCCTTTGCAACACTGGATCGCTCTCCCCTTCATTCTCTTGGCAGATCAATTCGATATTTCTCAGTTTGCCAAAGTAGAAGTCCCTCTCCTTCTCCAGATCTTCAACAGTAAGTTTCAATACATTGATCTGCCAAAAAGAAAAATAAGACACACATGATCATTTCTCCAGAGAGAAGCAAGATTCTTACATTTCACAAGTGGCTTTTTGTGAGAGATCTATAACCGCACTGTGGGCTTAAGATCTATGGGATTAAGATCTATATTGATCTATTACTCTCAGTTTAGTTCATATGTTCAATTCCCATGCTAGACATCCAATTCACATGAGGGGTCAGCCTCTTTGCAAAAGTTATGGGCTCGCTACTTCAAACTAGTAAAAACCCAATCACCTGCAGTTTCCCTTTGCAGGGTTTATTCTTTTAGATACTTCATCACCATTTACACGAAGTCAGGTTAACTTATAACAGTGAGACTCCTGACAACTCTCACTACTACAGTGTAGTGGCAGCCATTCATGATTTAACTGCAATGCTGCTAGATGTCTGCAATAGCACTGTAGGATGAAGTATCAAGATGTAATAGACTAGTATGTATCAGACCTTGAGTGAAAGGTTTTAGTTTGACAATTTGCTACATCTAGTATGTGAATTGCTTTGCTATATTTCCAAGACAGTTCTTAACGATTCACGTAAATTAATCTAAAGCAGTTCCACTTAATAGTCTACAGGTTTAATACTCACCTGCTGGATCAGTTCTGCTGATTCATCCTCTGCTATTCCTCCTGGAGCCTTTTTAACCATTCCAGTGCCAGTTTTAGGAGCTGATGGTGTTCTCTGAGTAACAATGGGCCTTTGAGGACCTACAAGGTAAGATGCAGTGTTAATTCTTAGCCTGTTATTTTTGGAATCAAGACCCTCAGGAGTTATTTCCACCCATGCTTAGCTAGAACAGTGACGAATTTGAATCTCAGTGTAGTGCAGCAAGAAATGCCTCAAATTCCCCATGTGAAGTGTCCCTTCTCCCGCAAGAGTGTTGGTACCAATCACTGCCATTTTCTTTAAGGAAGAAGCATCTGTTCCTGCAGCAATCATTTCTGTGGGTTCCAGGAAACTGTTATCTACAAGAGGCACAGCAATTCTAGAGGTTACACAATTTGACCTGAAGATGCCTAACATTTTAAACCTACAGATTAAGTGTCTCACATGGAAGAAAACTTCTTATCCTCCATGAAATAAGAGGTTCACCACTACAGTGTGATCTAAGGCATATGTATCACGATTCCATTCTGTATTTTGAGAGATTGGAATCTTTGTGGAACAGAAGAAAACCATGAACTACCATAATTTAATGCACTGAAATTAACAATGAGTCACTTTTGCTACTGAAATTCTTAACAATTAGAAAGACTTTCACAAGACCATCAATATTTCCTTTACCTGCAGTACCGGAACTGAGAGCTTTCTTGGGCTTGTTCAATACTGGAGCAACAACGGCAGT